AATGCATGTTCTTTAGGAGAGTTTTTCCTGGCACCAAATAGAAATTCATCCCACCGGATTACAGGGATACTGAGTGCTGGAGTTGATTATGTCCTTGACCCCAGTACTAAAATTGTGAACTTGGGCAAGTTGTTTAACCTATCATGTATAAATGTATAACATACTGTATGTTTAATTTTAGTCACTTTTGATATTTATAAAAAATACTGAATAAAGTTTTTGGCATTTGCCTTTTTCAACCTGTACACCTAAAACTTGTTTATAACAACTAGTTCATTCATATTCATCTCTGTAATATTCCATTGTGTGATTATATCACAATTCATCCTTTTTCCTGTTGATAGGCATTTAGGTTGTTTCCAGGGTTTTTGCTATTGCAAATGGCAGTGCTATAAAAATTCCTGTATAGATCTCCTGACACTCAAGCGTACTTCCCCTCTAGTAAACTGGATTGCAGATTCTAGCTGTTTCAGCAGCCACGAGCCTCCACTCTGCCTCCTCAGTTGAATAGTATCACCATTGTGAGCTGTATTCCTTGCACCATGGTTGGGAATGTCCTCCCAAGGAGACAGACATGGTGAACCTGGGGTTTGCCTTGTGTGTTTCCTCTTTTAGATATCAGTCTGCTTTGACTGGTATTGATTCCTGAAAACAGTTGCCTCATATATTTTGTACAGTATTAACAGTTTGGGGTAGCAACATAAGTCCAATTCCAATTACTACGTTATAGCCAGAAGTGGAAGTCTATTCAGCTCTATTTTCTACTCAACGTTTTAGTTTTGTTTTGGGTAGTTAATTGTTAATACAGCTGCTGTTTATTTCCTCATAGCAAAAGCCCAAGATAAATTTCATTTAAAGGTAATTTAAAGGTTGCAATATTTTAGGTATTCTTCCAGATGCACTTAGTTCTATCCAAGGATTGAATTAGATCACTAAAAACTGCATTCGCATGCTAGGTGAATGGCATGAGGTAGAGTTCATTTTTTCCCTTACGGTAACTATTTTGTCTCCAGTTTTTTTATTTTTATTGCATTTTAGGTTTTGGGGTACATGTGAAGAACATGCAAGATAGTTGCATAGGTACACACGTGGCAATGTGATTTGCTGCCTTCCTCTCCATCACCTATATCTGGCATTTCTCCCCATGCTATCTCTCCCCAACTCCCCACCCCCCGCTGTTCCTCCCCTATTTCCCCCCAATAGACCCGAGTGTATAGTACTCCCCTCCCTGTGTCCATGTGTTCTCATTGTTCAACACCCACCTATGAGTGAGAACATGCGATATTTCATTTTCTGTTCTTGTGTCAGTTTGCTGAGAATGATGGTCGCCAGGTTCAGACACGAACTCATCATTTTTGATGGCTGCATAATATTCCATGGTGTATATGTGCCACATTTTCCCTGTCCAGTCTATCATCAATAGGCGTTTGGGTTGGTTCCAGGTCTTTGCTATTGTAAACAGTGCTGCAATGAACATTCATGTGCATGTGTCCTTATAGTAGAATGATTTATAATCCTTTGGATATATACCCAGTAATGGGATTACTGGGTCAAATGGAATTTCTATTTCTGGGTCCTTGAGGAATCGCCACACTGTCTTCCACAGTGGTTGAACTAATTAATTTACACTCCCACCAACAGTGTCAAAGTGTTCCTATTTCTTCACATCCTCTCCAGCATCTGTTGTCTCCAGATTTTTTAATGATCGCCATTCTAACTGGCGTGAGATGGTATCTCAATGTGGTTTCGATTTGCATTTCTCTAATGACCAGTGATGATGAGCATTTTTTCATGTTTGTTGGCCTCATGTATGTCTTCTTTTGTAAAGTGTCTGTTCATATCCTTCACCCACTTTTGAATGGGCTTGTTTTTTCTTGTAAATCTGTTTTAGTTCTTCGTAAATTCTGGATATCAACCCTTTGTCAGATGGGTAAACTGCAAAAATTTGTTCCCATTCACTTGGTTGCTGATTCACTCTAATGACTGTTTCTTTTGCTGTGCAGAAGCTGTGGAGTTTGATTAGGTCCCATTTGTCTATTTTGGCTTTTATTGCCAATGCTTTTGGTGTTTTGTTCATGAAGTCCTTGCCTACTCCTATGTCCTGAATGGTTTTGCCTAGATTTTCTTCTAGGGTTTGTATGGTGCCAGGTCTTATGTTACGTCTTTAATCCATCTGGAGTTAATTTTAGTGTAAGGTGTCAGGAAGGGGTCCAGTTTCTGCTTTCTGCACATGGCTAGCCAGTTTTCCCAACACCATTTATTAAACAGGGAATCCTTTCCCCATTGCTTGTTTTTGCCAGGTTTGTCAAAGATCGGATGGTTGTAGAGACGCTGTGTTGCCTCCGAGGCCTCTGTTGTGTTCCATTGGTCTATATCTGTTTTGGTACCAGTACCATGCTGTTTTGATTACTGTAGACTTGTAGTACAGTTTGAAGTCCAGTAGTGTGATGCCTCCCGCTGTGTTCTTTTTGCTTAGAATTGACTTGGCTATGCAGGCTCTTTTTTGGATCCATATGAAGTTTAAGGTGGTTTTTTCCAGTTCTGTGAAGGAAGTCAATGGTAGCTTGATGGGGATAGCGTTGAATCTGTAAATTACTTTGGGCAGTATGGCCATTTTCACAATATTAATTCTTCCTAACCATGAACATGGAATGTTCCTCCATCTGTTTGTGTCCTCTCTTATTTCATTGAGCAGTGGTTTGTAGTTTTCCTTGAAGAGGTCCCTTACGTTCCTTGTTAGTTGTATTCCTAGGTATTTTATTCTCTTTGTAGCAATTGTGAATGGCAGTTCATTCTTGATTTGGCTCTCTAAGTCTGATATTGGTGTATAGGAATGCTTGTGATTTTTGCACATTGATTTTGTATCCTGTGTCTCCAGTTTAACTTCTGAGTCTCATTTTTTCACTTGTAAAGTGGGGGTAATGATATCTGACATGAAACACATGCATACATACACAAAACCTTTACAGAGGTCTGCAGCTTGGCTGTCTTATTCTAATTAAAGGAGGATTTTAAGACTTCCAAATCAGATAATTATAGTTAACATTTTTATTTCCTTAACTATGTGCTAGTAACTGTTCTGAGCACTTTATGTATGCTAACATAGTTAATCCTTATAACAACCCTATAAAATAGGCACTATTACCTTCCCCACCTTTTTTTTTTTTTTTTTTGAGATGCAGTCTCCTGTCTGCCAGGCTGGAGTGCAGTGGCGTAGTCTCAGCTCACGGTAACCTCCACTTCTGGGTTCAAGCGATTCTCCTGCCTCAGCCTTCCAAGTAGCTAGGACTACAGGTGCATGCCACCACTCCCGGCTAATTTTCTTTTTTTGTATTTTCAGTAGAGACAGGGTTTCACTGTGTTAGCCAGGATGGTCTTGATTTCCTGACCTCGGGATCCACCCATGTCAGCCTTCCAAAGTACTGAGATTACAGGCATGAGCCACCGTGCCTGGCCACTTTCCTCAGTTTATAGATGAGAAAATTGAGGTATAAAGGTAAAAACTCATCAAAGGTCATATGGGTAAATTGTAGTAGTACATGGATTTGAATACAGACAGACTTCAGACTTTACTATACATTCAGATGAACACATTGTAACATCCTCCTACTATGAAAATGAAGAAGCCCTCCATCTCGACTGCTCAGGTGTAGGGCCTCAGCACAATTCACTTAAAAAGTTGAAATCCACCAACCTCAATATGTACATTTCAAAATGTTAAAAATCAGAATTGTAAAGCAATTACTGAATCTAATTTAGAGACAATTCTCCCTTTAGTCTCTAATTCCAAGGATAGTAGTCCCTCAAAACCTCAGATTTTTGTCTATTTCCTTGCAACAGATTGCTGCCAGTAAAAAGTTTCCTAATGCTCAACCCTTTTTAAAAGTGCTCTCACGTGGAATAATTTTCACATGGTATCTGTCTCTCTGGTGAGGTACTTGTCACGTTTTCCATTCATTTATATATGAATTTTTTCCCCCAGTTACTTTATGTCCAGAAATGAAATATATTCTAAGATCCCTATGAGAGACTTAAGAAATAAGGAACTCTCATTTACTCCACTCTGGTGCTATGTCACTTTTTCTTTTTCTTTCTTTTTTTTTTTTTTTTTTTTTGAGACAGTTTCGCTCTTGTTACCTGGGCTGGAGTGCAATGGCGTGATCTCGGCTCACCGCAACCTCCGCCTCCTGGGTTCAGGCAATTCTCCTGCCTTAGCCTCCTGAGTGGCTGGGATTACAGGCACGTGCCACCGTGCCCAGCTAATTTTGTGCATTTTTAGTAGAGACGGGGTTTCACCATGTTGATCAGGATGGTCTCGATCTTTTGGCCTCGTGATCCACCCGCCTCGGCCTCCCAAAGTGCTGGGATTACAGGCTTGAGCCACCGTGCCCGGCTGCTATGTCACTTTTTCAAATTTCTTAGCCCACCTCTACAGCAGCTAAGAATTGGGAGATATGACAATAGACAGGTCAGTTGAGAGTTTCCCCAAACAACACAGCCACTTACTTGAATGTGTTAGCAGCCATAGCTTCTCTTGAGATGTATTTTGTACCACAAGGTCCTATGGATTATTTCTAATTTCATTGTGGTAGGCTTCCCTTTACTTTTTCTCTACTTACTTGACCTGTTTGTAAAAAAAATTTGATTTAAAGACATGTTTGCTTCTAATAGGCAATTCTATAGTAGCATTATACTGCCAAGAAAGATATATGTTTCTGGGGTTATTTTTTATAATTAAAAAGTGTAAACTTAAAAAATTGGTATACATAGGCACATAGGTAAAAATAAACCTTTGTTTCCTTCCATCAGAGACGTAAGCACTGAGGTTTCTAAGCACGTATAACAGAATGCTAAGCAACACTCAAGCGGATACTCAACGAATAACTGTGGTCTATAATATTTTAGCTATTAAGTGTGTCTTGCAAATAGTAAAATCAAGGAATTCTTTCAAATGTGCAGTGTTTAGATTTGTAATGATTACAAGTACCAAAAAAAACCCATGAATTAAAATACAATATTTTATTTTTTCTCACCTAAAAAACAAGCAACCCAGAATTAAGATATACATAAGTTTCTCAAATTTACCCTAATAAAAGTTTGAATATTTATACAATTTCTACAGAAACATACAGTGTATCAAAATCTGCATAAATCAAATTTATAAAATGTGTAGAAATGCATAGTGATATTATCAACTTACAAAGCAAGGATATGGGAATTATTTCCAAAGCAGCCTACAGTAGAAAATAGTCATTATGGCAGCAGCTTCTGATGTTTTTGTTTGGTAAGGTTTCTGATTTCAATATATAGAATCATATTCATAAGAGTATTTTCTTTTAATGAATTGCACAAAATACCCATTTAAAATTTACATGCACAGTTCATTGCCACCTTTCTTAGGCCTATGCATAGTTAATAAGGTTATAATCTACTCAACATGGAAAATGGAGCCTATTTGCAAACACGCAAGTAATTAAAGTACCAATTCTCTCTTAGTTCCTTTTTTTAGAGTTGATTTATTTTGCAATTATAAATGTTAAACATCCCTAGAGATGAAAGTTAAAATGGTTGATCACAGATCAGTAGCAAAATACAAATTGACAATTCAAAATTTTAAATAAAACTCTGTTGAGGATGTTTAACTTTGACTCTCCAAATTTAAGAGCTAAGCTTGGAACAAACAAATTCATAGGTTATATTTTCCTCTTAAATTAAAAAAGAAACTTCTGGCAGTAGTTTGTGAATTCCTTTCATTGTAATGATTTCACGATTATAGGATCAAAAATGCTTAACTTGCCATTCAGCTCACCTCATCATAGTTTTTTTTAGCACTCAATGTAGGCAATTTTAATCTTTTGAGCAGTAACAGTATCTTTTGAGAAATTAAAATTGAATTGACCATTTGGAATATTTGGTTTTCCTAATAGGTACTGTCTTAGTAAATGTTTAAATCCAAACAAATCTTCTGTTTACTGGAAAAATACTAAAAAAAATACACTTCCTAAAAAGAAATTAAGAAACACTAGGGAAAATCCAATCTAACAGAAAGTAGTTCACATTTGTTAATGAACTGTTTTTAAATACTCCTTTGTTTTTCAAATTTAAAAAACATGCAGATAATGTCATTTGGATGAAAATATCAATGAAACGTCAATTCACTCTTGGCTTCACAGGTTGCACAACTTAGGTTACGATGCACACAAGCTTTATAAGGCCTAATCCAACAAGGGCTTGGAAGGTCTTACCTCAGTCAAAAAGAACCTTTGACATGTTTATGGTGGTGTTTTGTTGATTTTGTTACCCTCTCTTTCGGGGGGTAACAATAAAACTGATAATAGTTTTCTATAGTGACAGGTATTAGAGAAGATAAATCCCAAATGTTGGTGGACAATTTTTCTCTAGTTGGAAGACTCCTTTGCAATCCTAGAAGTAGGTATGGACAGAGGGCACTGGGAATGCCAGTATGTAAGGAAGCAAATTCCACACAACTTCCAACCCTATGGGAAAGCCTTGGGATGTTCCATATTGTCATTTCTTTTTCAAGCCATACAACATCTAACCTTATGGCAAATGGCAGCACATAAATTCATTTCTGAGTAGTAAAAATATTCCCCATACAGGTGACAAGTCTATCATTACCATCCTATAAATTGCATCACAAGCTCTTGAAATATATACTGAGAAATGAAAGAGGCACTAAATGTGTTGAAATTCACCTTTCAAAAAAGCAGCATGACTGTGAAGGAAGGCCACCTTGGCTAATAACCTGTGGCAGTGCTTGAAAAGGATGTAAAATTAAATAAAGACACAACAGGTTGATAATCACCAAGTTATATATGAAAGTCCGGCTACTCCAACCTTTTTCAAGTGTGTGAAAAATAAAAATCAAACTGCCTTTCAGACCCCTGAGTGTAATCCCAAAGAAGACAATGTGCTTTAACTCTAGTAAAACGGAGCTAAAGGCACAAATTACCAACATCATCTTAAAACAAAACAAAAAGATGTAAACATCTACAAAGTTTAAGGTAAAAGCAGTCTTGTAAACAGTAACTGCAGATGATAATGTTATTGTAAAATCACAGTTTATCAATGTCCTTGAAACTGATCAGGAGGTTTCAGGTTTGGAGCTGTACAGAGTTAATAACAGTTGCAGCAGGTTTCAGGCGGTTTTCAGTCCTGTTTAAATTTACTTGTCAGTAGGTAGGTTATTGGTTTCTTTTATTCTCTCTAAACACTATGGATGTTGTTCATTTCCCATTTTTGAGTCATTTTACTGGAGTCACAATTGGAGATGAATACTTGATGCAGGACCTCTGAGCGATCTAAGCACTTTCCTGAAGGAATATGAGTAAATCTGTGCAGGTTCTGGAAAACACAGTAAGAAAAGTTTCAGATTTGGACTCTTGATATCACTGACATCAGAAGATAGTGTAAGCAAATGGATAAGCTTATCAACCACACCTCAGACTTTGGATTTCTCCTGATTGTCAGTTTTCTAAGTCCTAAGATCTTTCATTGTTAAGTCACAATATACTGCTGGTATCTGACATTCAGTGTATACAAACCTAAATTCATTATCTGCTCCCCATATCTATGTCTACTGCTTCTATCCTGGGTAATGACAATACCAGCTTTCCAGTCATTAGGAAATACTGCACTTTCCCTCTTTCATTCACATTACACCAGACACTAAGGATGGGTATGCAATGTCTCTGGTTTATATTCCTTCCCATCGCCACTGCAGATGCCCTGGTTTGGCCCTCACCATATGTTCAGACTGTCCAGGATTGGGTCTGTAAGGCCAAAACTATTTTCATAATAATACAAAGGCTCTACTATCTTCACTTTATCGACATTTATGCTGATGGTGCAAAAGTGATGGTGAGTAAAACTGATGGTGCCTTAGCATGAATCAAACTATGCTACTACCTGTAGTCATATTCACTGCCACACACTCAGTAAAAAGTAAATGCCAGTTTCACTTAAAGATGTCACTGATGAAGCAGTAAAACTTTAATTTTTATTCATTCTTGACCCGAGTATACTTAAAATTTATGAGATGCAGTGGGAAGTACGTATCAAGTACTTCCGCATAGTGAGGTGCAATGCTCAAGGATGCCAGTCTACAATGCAAGTAACTTTTAAGAAACCACCACTTATTAAGCTGTGGTGCCACAATTATCTGAAAGGCTATTCAATTACTTCCTCTCTTTTCCAACTCTATGCTTGTGTGAGTCTAGGTTTTTGTCATATACTTGAACTAAAACAATGTATCAGATCAGACCAAATGAAGCGGAGTATAAGAATCGAGCTGTCTTCTTCTATTAAATCAGATATTAAAGGGATTTGCAAAAATACAGAATTCCATTCTTCTCATTATTTTTTGTGGGTAAACATAGTTATTTTTCATTAAAAATGTCATCTATATTAATGTTTAATGGGGATATTGTTACTTTTAGATGAATTAATTATAAAAACTTTACAAATTTTTCAGACAATTTCCAGTTCTGGAAATATTGCTAAGGATAACCTACATAAACAAAAGCAATTTGGGGGTGGGGGTTTCCATAACTTTTAAGAGTGTAAAGGGGATCCAGAGGCCAGAAAGTTTGAGAACAGTACATACCTCACGTTTCCAGAAATATTTTCCTAAAAGTAGCTATAGTTTCCCATCACTACCTTCTTCAAATAAGGTCAATCCCTCTACGAAACTTAAAAAATGAAGTCGGTGCTCTATCCTCTGAGAGCCTTTTTTACACTCAGGACTTGTACAATGAGACTTCCTCTATGAAACATGAATCACTCTTTTCTATCCTATGGCATTTTGCTTATCTCTATTTTTGCATTTCTTTCTTCTCTACCGTTATATGATAGTGTACTTCGGCTATAGTTTTGAATTCCCCTTCAGTCTAACACATCATTGGTTCCCAAGTGACTAGTAATATCTAATACACAAATGTATATTCAGTGCTATGTCCTTTAAAATACCTAAAACGTGTGCCATTTTTTGGTCAATTACTTCTTGATATAGTTGCTGGTCTGTTAGCCTCCTTTTACTATTTTGCTAATATTGTTCTCACTGACCCCTACCATTTATTGCTATTATATTTCATTTTTCTTTGTGAAAATAAATGCTCCACTCTTTAAGGTTTATGCCACTCTTTTCCTTCCTAACTTGCTATAAGAAAAAAAATCATCAATTGATACATGCTTATCGCTTCATGGAAATTATCCATAATGACAATAATAGGGAAGGTTAAGGTAGATCAGATTCTTATTACAGAGATAACAAGTGCTTGCTTGCATGACAGATGGGATGTGATAACACATACTGAGTGAATAAATAAAATGCAGGGTGGTTGACAGATTCTTTAGTATGAGGCAGCTTTTCCTTTTTGTTTCATATTAAATTGATTTATGTTAGCTAAATCTAGACTTTGAAAACTATACATAAATCTATTAAAATGTTGTAATCCTCAACTTGCCACAGAGCTTTAAATACTCACAGCTGAAACACAAAACTGCCCCAGCAGTGTCATGTGACTAACTAAATTTGACCATTAAAGCAAGCAACTTGCTACATTTATCCCTCTGTATCTAGCACACAACAATGATAAAGATGTTATGAAAGCCTAGGTTTCAAGTTTTATTTGTTTATCTCTATCTCCACCTGCTGGACAATATGAAATATTAGCCAAATTTTTAATAGTATAAATATATTTTACTTTAATGAATGATTCCTTTAGATTTCAAAAATCAGATTCTGGTGAGAGCAGTGATGATGACTGCCTCGCAGAACACTGACTTCCTGTATTACTAAAATTAGCAGTGCTCTTCATAGACATCACCGTGGCCTCATTCCGTGACAATATTGTATGAAAGAACAAAAGTGATGCCTCATTATAGAACAATGAGTCATCCAGTGCTCAGGAAAACCTATACAAGTGACTAAATGAGAGGAAAATGCTAGCAAATTTGAATGTAGGCTTGAAGATTTATTCATCTAAATTCCACATGCTAGATGTTATTGAAAATGAAATAGCATATAACATTATTTCAGAAGTTAAAATGCAGAATACCTTGAAGTACTGCCATTCCTTAAATTCATTTAGATTACAGTGTGTAATCATAATTTTTGATCCATCAGCCCCCTTTGTCAAACACTGGTCATACTGCATGAGTTGATTTGCTTCATTGATTCTGAAAAGCTGTAAAAGAAAAAAAGAGAAATAAGTAACAGAGGCACCTTCCCTGCTGATGTATATTTGAAAAGAATGAAACTTAACTCATAATTAAATTGAACGGCTAACTTATTTTTCCATAATTTTTCTGTGTTTAGAACTGTAAGTCCACAAATTATATTTATTTTGATGTTAGTGAAGATCCTTATTAACACTGAAATCATTAAGTTCTTTAGTCTATAAGATACCAAATGGGTCACTAACACATATTTGTCAATTACTAACAATGTGAGAAAATGAAAAAAACATATACCCACATAAGAAAATATATTAGTGAATATATATTACTGGCAATAACACTCTATTGGCAAAAAGATGAGGATTAGTGAATAATACTTGCAAAAAAATCGTTAGGGAGCTAGGCTTACATAGTTATGTTAGTGACAAATATATACTCTCACAGGAATATATTTTAATCTGTTACATTAGACATTAATTCTAGATTCTAACCGCTTATGCAAAAACCATAATGTTATTATAATGCTATTGATCACTCTGTGGTCAATAAACCTGATACCCCCTCAATGCAGAATAATTTAAACACAAAAGGAAGGTGATTTACCTGATTCCCTCCCATTCTGTGGCAGGGTCCTAGCTCAACAAAGCCTCCGTTTGTTTTTCCCATGCTATCAATGCAGTAAGCAGTTTCAAAGCCTCTGATCTGAAAAAAATGAACAAAGAAACAAAAAGCAGGCAACAGTTTACTGTTTGATAAACTCTGGCATCAGAACTTAGTATTTCATATTAAATATTACAGTGGAAAATCTGGGTATGTGTAGTGACAGGGAATTACTGTATTATTGGTCTTTACATAGTTTGGAAATCATTTATGGTCTTGAAGTCAACATTGGAATGGATTCTTTCTCTTAAGAGCATATGACTATAGATTTCCCTAAAATACCACAGAGGAAAAAAAAATTACCATTAAATACAATTTCAGAATCATAGTAATTCATGTGAATGAGAAGCAAATAGAGAAAAGCTACCTAACCACAGTGGTAATAGACACTGGCCCTAGATATCTAGAACAGACTGGATTTGTAAGGGACCTCTCCCAAATGACTGTGCAGCACTTCTGGTAGCTGCCTCCAAGGGCCTAGGGTGCAAAGGTCACGCATGACACATGGCCAGGCAGTGTGGCTGTTCTTTATAGACAATGTAGATGAAAAGTAAACACAGGTTTCCATTGTTGGAATGTACAATTTCTATGAAAATAACTTTTTGGAAATACCGTATATTTTTCTGAATTATAAATCACTTTAGTATTTAAATAAAATGTTTTATTCTTGCATTCAGCCAACAAATACTGACTGTGCACCTCTGATGATAAGAGCTTTTGAGGATACGAAGAGGAGCAAGTCATGGTCCTCACCGCCTGTGGAGAGACGGAGGGGTGGCGGCCAGTCAGGATGGAGGTTATGAATTTGCAGAGGAAGAGCTGCTACCCTGCATGGAGGAGCGCCGAAGACTGCCCCAAGAGACACCTTTACAAGAGTTAGGGGTTTACCTTGGAATGTTAAGGAAATGCCGAGAAAAGAAGTATAAAGTGCACCTGTCAGAATGGAGAGAGGTTAAACTGAAGATATGTTTGGGAGTGAGATAGTAAAAGGAGGACAGAAAATTCTATACATTCATTCATGCATTTATTCAATCATCAAATACTGAGTATCTGATGTGTGCCAGGCATGCTGTAGGATCTGAAACACCAGTGAACAAAGAGCACTGCCCCAGAAATGGGCATGCCGCAGTGTATGTGGGCCCCTGCCTACATTCACTCTGGGAACGTAAGGAAAAAAAGACAGAATGTAAGTTAAAAAACATAGTAGACAATTTTTCTGCTATAGCAAAAGATGACAAGTGTGGTGAAAACAAGAAAGAAGAGGAAGTTAGAGTGGGAGCTAGAGTGTTGGGAAGTAACGAGGTGGACATCACTGAGAAGTGGCAGGTCAGCAGACTTGAACGAGGTGTGAGAGCTGGCCACGCACTCGGCTGTCTGCTGGGAAGCATTCTGGGCAGAGGACAGAGCACAGGCAGGCACATGCCTGGAGGGAGTCCAAGGACCAGTAAGGATATGGGGCTGGAGCGGAGTGGGGAGAGCAGTGGCAGGTGAGGCCAGAGAGGAACAGGAACAGATGTTGTGGATCTTGGAGACCACCAGAATGGACTCTGTCATCACTCTGAGGTGAGGGTGCATGTTTTCTTGCGGAGCGACATGACTTGTCTTCATTTTAAAACAATCACTCCAACTGCTGTATTTGAAATAGGCTGTAGGAGAGCCAACAAGTTAGTCTCAGTGACAGATGATGGTGGCTTAGACCAGGCAAGAAGGAATCAGATTCTGGAACTAGATATGAAGCGTGAGACAAAGACAGGATTCGTGGAAGACTCCAAAGTGTTTGGTCTGAGAAATCGGTAGAGATGGGCAGGGGGAGGAGACAGGAAGTTCAATTATGGCTGGTTGAAGTGCCTGTTGGACACTCAAGTGCCGACGTCAAGCAGGCAGTTGGATGCACTCGTCTGGGCCCTCAGAGAGAGATCTGTGTGTTGAAGGGTTTATGGTCTAGTTGGGAGTCAAACATAATTTGCCGTAATAGCACAGGTAAATTAAGAGTATAGGGAAAAAAAGGTATTAAAGCAGTAAGAATAGAGAGAGCAGCATGAGTGTCCTCTGTTGGTTTCTCCTTCTATTCCTGAACTCTATCTAAGTGCAGGCACTTCTCAGGGTTGGGTCTTCTCTCCTCTTCTCTATCTGTATTTTCTCTCTTGGTGACCTCATTCAGTCCCATGAAACAACCTACCTGCTGATGGACCCAAATGTGCAACTACAGAGCGGCCTCTCTTCTGGATTGTGGCATCATACAACCTACGATCTATTATCAGTAGGACTTAACAGCTCTACCTGAATATCTGGCAGGTACTCTGCAAGTCCAGAACACCAACAGAAGCCTTGCCCCCTCCATTCCCTCCCCTACTATCTTCCCAGTCTCAGCAGCCCAAATGAAAAAAATTATCAGCTACTCAAATAAAAAAAAACAACCTCAGTGTCATCCTGGCCCTTATCCTTCACACACCAACCCATCAGGGATCTGCCTCCAGAAGAACTGTTTATGCAATTGGTCTGCTTCCCTTCATCTCCACTCTCTGGCTCTCTGATTGGCTGACTCTTTACAATTCAGATCTGAGGGCAAATGTCGCCTCCTCAAAGATGCTTTCTTTACCCTGTCCTTAAGTTCTCTTGATAGTATTAGGTGTCACTGTCATTTATCACCATCTGTCATTATCATTTTTGCTTTCTCTTTTTCAGTCTCTATCCCCAGGTAGCATGCTAGTTCCCTGAGAAAAAGGACTCTGCTTGTCTTATTTTCTGTCTAGAAGAGTGACTGGCACATAGTAGGCCCTCATTTGCTGAACATAATTAAGCAGAGGGATGTAGACTTGAATGTTCATGGCAGGTTTAGTGTGCCTGTGGGGCAGCAGCATAAGGCATACAGCAGAGCTGAGGGGTGCAATCAGAAATGAGTCTGAAGACAAGTTTGAATAAACAAAGAAATGACAATGTCTGATTTTCCAAATGCTTCTGCTTGATTTTAATTATTTTTAATTCATTTAAAAGCACTGTTGGAGTGCCTGTTGTATGTGGGTCCCTGCATCAGTCCACCTGGACACAATGGTGATCAAGGCCCTGAAGCACTCGCACTGGCTGGAGATGGGCGAATCCGGGTGTTGTGAGAACCCCTGGAAAGAGCATAGATGTACATCTTTTTGATGAAGTGGGGAAGAATAAGGAGGGCTTTTCAGTATTGGTGATCTCTAAGCTGAGAGCAGTAGGATAAACTGAGTTAGTTAAGGAAGGGAGTTGGAGTAAGGGGCATGGAGGTGCCAGGAGCTGGAGCAAAAGGCTGGCAGGAGACAGCATGGTGGCAAGCTGGTCTGGCAAACTGTAGCTGTAGAGTGGATAGGTGGAAGATGCTATCAGACAGTTTTTACCTAGACTTTCCCCCAAGAATACTTTTCTCTTACTCACATAGTTCCACCTGTCTCTGCCTTCTCCCAAACTTAGTCTACAAATGCACACACTTTGAGATGTGACTATTGGTGGGTACTCACTTCTCCCCAGTCAACATTTTTGGGTGGCAAAGGGTAGTGTGAGGTGATATCATAAGCTATTTCTTCCATGAACCACTTAAAACTTTTGCAGTTGTGATCTTCTCGAAATTTTTTCAGCTCCGATATATCCCCATATGGTAATGCCTGTGATTCAGGACGACTAGCATAGAAGTAGTCTTTATATTCATCCCACCAAACCTCCACAACTCTAACATAATTCTGTAAAAAAAAAAAAAGAAATATTTTAAAAAGACAAGGGTCATATAATAAACAGCCTATATTAGACACATGAAATATGGCTTACACATAACAAATTCATTTCAATAGGACCTGACATTTAATCAAACAACAAATGCAAGTAAGTTAATGACTCTATGTCATCTGCCTAGGATTAAAATGTCATGTATATTTAAGCAAAAAGTGTTATACACAACCTGATATCCCTGAGCTGAAAGGTCATATAAGCTAAGATAATGTATTATATTCTGCTAACAGAAGAAATTGAATCACAGAGAGAGTTTATGAGAGCCCGGCTGGACACTGGTATTTTTACTCCTAGAATAACTTCTTTTCTTTCTTTCCTTTTTTTTTTTTTTTTTTTTTTGAGATGGGTCTTGTTCTGTCATTCAGACTAGGGTGCAGTGGTGCAATCTTGGCTCACTGTAAGCCTCAACTTCCTGGGTTCAAGTGATCCTCCCACCTCAGCTTCCCGAGTAGCTAGGATTACAGGTACATTTACCATACCTGGCTAATGTTGTTTTTTTTTTTTTTGTAGAGACAAAGTCTCATTTTGTTACCCAGGCTGGTCTCAAGCTCCTGGCCTCAAGAGATCCTCCCACCTCAGCCTCCCAAAGTGTTGGAATTACAAGAGTGAGTCACTGTGCCTGACCTATAATCTGTTTTTAATAGAACCATTCTACTGGTAAGCATAGGGGCAAAAAAATCTCATTTCAAAAACCATCATGAAAAACAAAAGCTCTGTTCAATAAAACACATTTTGCAGGTGATTTTATTGATCCTGTTATCATTATAATAGAACCATTTTACTATAACTTCAAATAAACTGGGTATTTTCCCCAGTTGGCTCACCATTTTTTTTTTTTTTTGAGACGGAGTTTCACTCTTGTTACCCAGGCTGGAGTGCAATGGCACGATCTCAGCTCACTGCAGCCTCCGCCTCCTGGGTTCCGGCAATTCTCCTGCCTCAGCCTCCTGAGTAGCTGGGATTACAGGCACGCGCCACCACGCCCAGCTAATTTTTTGTACTTTTAGTAGAGACAAGGTTTCACCATGTTGACCAGGATGGTCTCGATCTCTTGACCTCGTGATCCACCCGCCTTGGCCTCCCAAAGTGCTGGGATTACAGGCGTGAGCCACTGTGCCTGGCCCCACTTTTTTTTAATTTAAAAAAAAATTTTTTTTTTTTTGAGATGGAGTCTCAGTCTGTCACCCAGCTAATTTCTGTATTTTTAGTAGGGATGGAGTTTCACCATGTTGGCCAGGCTGGTCTTGAACTCTTGACCTCAGGCAATCCCCCTGCCTCAGCCTCCCAAAGTGCTGATATCACAGGCATGAGCCATTGCACCCGACCCTAGCTGGTTCACTTTAAGGAAAAGCAGCTACAGAGCAATAAAACACGTTGACACTGTGATAACTGACAAATATTTAACTTTTAAGGCTTTAATCGAATGAATGCTTGCATAAATATATGTGACCAAATTGGTATACACTTGCTGTGATGTGCATGTGGCTTGTCTGCCAAAACTCATGTTAAAATTTGATGCCCAATGTGGCAGTGCTGGGAGGCAGGGCCTACTGGGTGGGTTAATACATTAAAGGCTTCCTGTGGAGGTGAGGGGGTGAGTTCTTGCTCTCCCAGGAATGGATTCATTCCCACAAAAGTAGTCTGTTAAAGAGTCTGGCTTCCTTGGTCTCTCTCTTGCTTCCTTTCTTGCCATGTGATCTTGTAGTACATGTGCATCCCCTTCTGTTTCCCATCATGTGTTGAAGCAGCATAAGGCTCTCAACAGATGTAGCTGCCCAAGCTTGAATTTTCCAACCCCTAAAATCTTGAACCAAATAAACCTCTTTTCTTGATAAATTACCCAGCCTCAGATGTTCTGTTGTAGTAACACTAAATGAACTAAAACAATACCCAATCCCTCATCTTCTACATCATGCATCAGCAAATATTCTCTATAAAGGGCCAGACAGTAAGTAAGTATCTTGGGCTTTTTGGGCTATATAGTTTCCTGTGGCAACTATTTAACTCTGCTATTTTAGTGAGACAGTAATCACAGACAATACACAAATAAATGAGTGTGGCTATGCTCTAATACAACTTTACTAAAAAGGATTGGATTCAGCCTGTCAGCCATAGTTGCTGACGCATCCAGAGCAAAAATAGTAAATATTTCAGATCTAGCATTCAGATTAAATGTTTTCTAGGCAACAAGATAACTATCAAAGGGTAACATGCCCCTAAATGCATTGTTGTCACAAAAGCCCATGGGTTTAAAAAAGGTTGCTATAGGCTGGGCAGGGTGGCTCATGCCTGTATAATCCCAGCACTTCGGGAGGCCAAGGCAGGTGTATCATGAGTTCAGGAGATCAAGGCCATCCTTGCCAACATGCTGAAACCCCGTCTCTACTAAAAATACAAAAATATTAGCTGGGCATGGTGGCGCACACCTGTAGTCCCAGCTACTCGGGAGGCTGAGGCAGGAGAATCGCTTGAACCCAGGAGGTGGAAATTGCAGTGAGCCGACATCACACCACTGCACTACAAACTGAGTGACAGTGCTAGACTCCATCTCAAAAAAAAAAAAAAATATAATAAAGGCAGCTATAAGCAGTATATGATCAAAGAACATAAGGTATTACCACTTGTTATGGGTTAGATCTGTGTCCCTACCCAAAACTCATGACTAATTACAATCCCCAATGTTGGTGGCAGGGCTTGGTGTAAGCTGACTGGTTCATGTGGGTGGATCCTTCATGAATGATAGCACCATCCCACCCCTCACCCCCACGCCCAGACTGTCCTTGCGATTTTGAGTTCTCGTGACATCCGGTTGGTGAAAAGGGTGTAGCACCTTCCCGTTTCTCTCTCTTGCTCCTGCTCCCACCATGTGAGATGCTTCATTCCCCCTTTGCCTTCCACTATAATTGGAAGCTTCCTGAGGCCTCTCCAGAAACAGAAGCTGCTAAGCTTCCTATACAGCCTGAAGAACTGTCAGCCAATTAAACCTCTTTTCTTTATAAATTACCCAGTCTCAGTTATATCTTAATAGCAGCATGAGAACAGACTACTACATGACTCAACATTCTGAATCCTTGCAAATCCATACGAAATTAGATACAGCACACATACTCTAGACATGAACAAACCTCAAGAGTTATGTATACATGCATAAGATTAGAGCAATAAAAAGAAGGAGGAATTAGTTGTCTGGGATGGACAGGGCCAGAGTGGCACTGTGTTGCCCCATCTCGAAGGAGTGGTTAATTAGGTGGGAACGGTATTCAGGGCAAAGAGAAAAGCAAATGCAGTATGATAAATTTTAGGATATTGTAGTCTGGCAAATAGTTTACAAAAACTGGAATGCAGTATTTACTGAGAGAAAACTTGCTTACGTTTCTTCATTTTAAGATGAGGATATAGGCCAGGCATAGTGGCTCACACCTGTAATCCCACCACTTTGGGAGGCTGAGGCAGGCAGAATTTGAGACCAGCGTGACCAAAATGGTGAAACCCTGTCTCTACCAAAAATACAAAAATTAGCCGGATGTGGTGGTGCACACCTATAATCCCAGCTACTTGGGAAGCTGAGGCAGGAGAATTGCTTGAATCCTGGAGCAGAGGCTGCAGTGAGCTGAGAGTGCGTCATTGCACTCCAGCCTCGGTAACAGGCTCTGCCTCAAAAAAATACAAAAATTTAGTGAAACTAATTTTGAGGCAGTGAAACTCTGCCTCAAAAAAAAAATTAGTTGAGGATATAGTCCTTACCTCATAGTATGTTGTGAAAATTAAAAAGTTTATCTATATAAAGCATTTACATTTATGCCTGGTACATTGTAAGCTCTTAATAAATGCTAGCTCTTATTAATATTGTTATTCTTTTTAAAAGAACTTTGAATTTTACCCTTGAGATGACACCTATGAAAAAGTTTTAAGCAGGTAAGTGACATCAAATTTAATTTTCAGGTGAATGGCACCGGTGGTGAGTGAAGGGTGGGCTGAAGTGGGTTGAACCTGATGGCAAAGAGCCAAGCGGAGGCTATTTAGTATTCATGGGAGAGATGTGAGGAACTGCACTGAGTATAGAAAGGCATGGAATGAAGAGCTATGTGTGAGGCAGAATCACCAGGGCTTGGTAAGGGGGAGGGGCAGGGAACAACCTTAACATGCTCCCTAAGTTTCATTCATGGGCAAATAGAGAACACAGTAGAAGGAATAACTTTTCAGGAAAAGTTAAAGGTCAATTTTGCCTCTGTTGAGTGAAAGATCTAAAGGACAACAGAGGATAATTCCAGAAGGTCTGAGGCTCAGAGGAGACAAATGAGGTGGAGAAACAGACCTGGCCACTGGCTGATGACTCAAAGAGATGCTGTCAAAACTGGAGAAAAGAAAGCACCTGGCACATGCCAGGCCTTCACTAAGTGTACGCTACATCCACACTTATTGGGTAGTTTGTATGGTAATACACGCTAATTTTTAGAGTAGATACATATCTATCTACCTCAGCTCTTTTCCTTTTTCTTTCAGAATAGACTTTTTTGAGTCAATTTGGCTTTTCATCAATTCTTCGTGATTGTGAGTCCGACTCCAAAGGGAGTTTCCTGCAATGTCAATCATGCCTGGTGTTGATTTGGTGCTAATTTTGTTTTATCATACACATTTAAATCTCATTCCCTGTTGTAGCTGGGGCTTCATTTAGCCAATAAGAAGGATGTTTTGGTTCTGAAAGCCTAGCTGGTCTGCTTATTACCCATTGCCCTGTTGTGAACTGTCTCAAGTTGTGTCTAAAGCCGACAATAAACCTGACTTGGTTAAGCATTGCAGAAAATGAGGAGCCTCAGAGTTGCATGCCTCTTAGAATTTATGAAAGCAGCCAAACCAAATAAACTTCAAAGTTGTTTTGCCAGGGATACAGGTCTTCATCCTCCAAGCAGTGGGACATCTGGATTTCTGTATGAAGCTTCTTTGGTTTGTTTCA